GCGAGCTTTTTAAACTTTTGCTTTGCTGCCAATCGTGTCTTTGAATTTGCTGCATTAAGTCAAACTTTTAATTAGCCGAATATCGATAAAAGCGCGAACGTGACAATAGTAGCACTCAGAGTATTTTCGGCTGTCAGGTCAAAAGTGAAGGCTTGTAGGCAATTACGAAGTGCATAAGTTGTATCCTTTATTGGGTAGTGAAATAAAATTTCAAGTGCTAGTTTGCTATGCCAAAGCTATTAGTGGGAGTTCAAAATGTACAATTACAGGCGTACGCCTAGGTCAAGTGAGTTATTACGGTATAAAATATTTGTGCTGTGTTGAGTTTATATAAGCGAGAGTGGAGTTTCTGAATATTTTATTCGTTAGTAAATTGCTTTTAGGTGATTGAAGGCAGAAAATGTATTGTATGTCTTCATTGCAAGTCAAGCCATGTAGGCTAGGGTGCATTGGACTGGAAAATACTATTTGAAATCTACAGAAGCCTTTAATAAATACTCATAATGCGAGAAATGCCTCAAAAATATATATATATATTTGTGAGAATAAGCTAATGAATGGAGGAGAAACTTCTGAAGCTTTGAATATCTAAAATCAAATAGCCATCTGTGGAGCATTTGCGAAGTTTGCTACGTTGTTCTACTCGCCAAAGCTTAGAATCAACTATTTTTTAGCTGATTGCTAATGCTACTCCTAAAGTAGCCAATAACGTAGTATCGAGAACTTCAAATTATGTCCCTCAGCTAGTTGATACCCAGAATAACTCAGCTGAATGGCTTGATGTGAAATAAGAAGACTTAGTGGTCGAATAAATTCACCTTAACAGCCGTGCAGTGTCAACCAAGAATACAAAACCCAATACAAATGTTGAAAAGTAAATCGAATTTAATCATCAGTTACCTGAAGTATTTTCTACCGAGTGAGACTTCGTCCAGGATATAACCTAGAGAAAGCTCATGTTGGTCTTGAATGGCAGCTCAACAGCAAAAGATGTCAAATGAAGATGTCGCTGCGATGAAGGGGCATTTCTAATTTCTTTAGAAAATCAACATTTCGGTTGAAATGAAAAATATATTTGGTCATCTTCTTTATCGTATTAGCAAATTTTTGTTTACCAATCTCAATTACATTAGCTAGTGCTGTGAGTATCTCTAAGTTAACCTGCTTTCAAAGCGGATTTAGCTAAGGGTTAAGCTTATTATTCAGGTTTCGGAGATTATTCAGAAACCCAATTCATTAATTTTTGAGCCTTGACCTAATAGTACTTGAAATAATGCTGTCTCAACTTTTAAACTTCAATGGGCACTAAAACCGCCTGCACTAAGTAAGTCTTGACCACTGCGCGTAAGAGGTCTAGTGAGCAGAAGTTCTAACTGGATTGAATCGACTCAACACTTCCTTCTCAAATGTCCCGCCTTTACCAGATCAAAGCTAAAACAACTTAAATATCATAATTTTAGTCATCCAGCGAAAATAAAAATAAAGCACCTAATCAGATTTGAGATATGTTCAAGGTGCTTTATCGTTAGCTGATATTCAACCGCAGGAGTTTTTATCTGGTTTCATAAAGGACTGAAAATAGCAGTGTAAGTGTGAACCCCACAATCTTAGGGAAATAGTTATCTAACATAACCTAGTAAAAGAAAATTTTGTTTATAATAATTATATTAATATAATAATACAATAATTTATATTACAAATCAATAATAATTTTTAAAAGTACGAAAACTTTTCAATTTGCAAGTACTCCGCTTTAAAAGCGCATTTTGAGCTTCAAAGCTCCATTTCTCTCGCATACCTTTTGGTTAAATTATGATCTTAGCACTACATGCACCAATGCAACATGCCATAACTTATGGTAAGCTTATAAAATTAATCCGCAACTAAATTTTGGACAAGATTGGAAATCTGAAAAATGAACTTTAATCTTTATATGCAAATTACGTGGCAGCACCAACAGCCAGCAGCGCACATTCTACACAATTCCCTACAACTTGCCACCACAACTATAATATATACCACAACTATATATAATATATAATATATATGTATGTATATATATATATATATAGCACCAACACATACTTGCTATCATAGTAAAACAATAACAACGAAGGCATATTTCAAAGGGTCATACAAATACAAATTCATAGCCATATTAACTTTGTAAAAATGTGTGCATTAAAAAAATGGTAAAATCTCATATCTTTCACTAACCATTGCCATGAAAATTTTGCACAAAGCAACTTGAAAGAAAATTTTGTATAAACAAATTATCAAACATGGTTGCAACGGCAAACAAACAGCCAACAAATGCAAGCCTTGTGAAGACAGGAGTTTTGGAAGAGGGAAAGGTGGAGTGGTGCAACATAATAATGGCAAAGCATGGTACTAAGTTGCAGGAAGCAACGGTGAAAGTTGTTGGTAGCTTTATGGGAGCACTCAGCTGTAGCTGAAGCCTTAAGTGCGACCGAAGCAATGCAATGGCCGGAATGGCCTGCACTCTCAACGGCTATAAAAATTACTACTAGAAATGGGTGTAGTAAAAATGAAAATGAAAATGAACGCAAGCAAACAACAATAAATATACGTATGTATGTGCAGCGACAGCAACAGCAGTTGGCGCAAGAATCGACTATGCTTTGTAGTCGTACTAACATTTGCACAAAGGCGCAATACTATAATCACAAAAGCCAACATTATGCCCATTCAAAGCCACAAAACAAGGTTTATACTTCCTGCATGGTGGTCGAATGCCGCCCTGTAATGGGTGGTTCTAAAGAAATTTGCTCCTTACTGCGATAAGGGCATAAAATTCCCCTTAAGTATTTTTTGCCGTTGCATTAATCGTGGATGCTAAAATTAAATTAGTGGGTGTGGCTTGAGTGATTAACTATAATTCAGTGGATTGTAGATTCGAAGCACGGCTTAGCTAAGATGCACACCTACAGCGACTAAATTTGCTGAACAAATTGCTATGTTGAGCTGCCTAAGACGTTTTGAATGAATTTAGAATTTTTTGTGTACCCAACGCTAGGAACTATTGCCCCCTTATAATATTTATGTTACAATAATTTTTAGATACATTTGTTGAACCTTTTCCCTTAGATCTCAAGTATTACAAGCTGTGAAATAGATGACGTGCCCGATTTCGATATCCTTGAAAAGGTCAGCCAGCGGCACAATAACCTGTATTTCGTTGGACGACCAAATGGATCACCATTTTTATACAGTTTTTTTTTTTCATCTTTTAAAAATTAAAATACAGATACTGAAGATCTAGTTTCTAGATCGTGGTTTTCTTACTTCGGACGTAAAGCTATGTAAAGTATGTTGCTCTCTTTCGTCTGCAAATGGTTACTGAATTTGGTCTCGACAGAATTAGTACAATTATAGAATATAAGGACAAACATTTAGCTAAACCTCGAGTTAATAATACTTTTACTTAAAGTAAAAACTTCCTAACACGTAGAATTTTTTGTGCTGTAGTCATGGGTTGTAAGGGTCAAACCACCAAAGGGCCAAAGGTCTCCTTTCTGGCAAACTTAATACACTCTGTTAAGGGTACAAATATTCTTAAACAAAATGGAAATCAATATTTCAACCACCTTGTATGTAAATACGTCTATAGAGCTTGACTTTGCACACAACCCGGCCAGCTTTCTGCCTATTCACCTGCTTATCCGCTTTACTGGACAACAGCAATACTGTGACCACTGACTGCTGAGGCGGATAAGTCGAAAGGGCAAAGCCAAAAGAGGAGAGCGTGAAAAAAATGTGTCCGAAACTATGCTGCAACTGGCATTAAAAACCCAAAAGGCCACCAAAAGTGTATTAAAAAATCAGGATTTCCACAAGAAAAATTGCACATGCAGCTTCAGCCCCTATTGTTGATACTTCTTCTGCTTTTCCTTCGTCTTTTCCGTCTTGCATATTATTCCAAAAGCAGGATTATGCCACAGCCTGTTGGTCGGACGTATGGTATGGTTGAGTATGCGGATGGTCGACAGGTGCGCCACTCAATGGTGAGCGTTGTTGCAACGCTTAAAGCGGAAGTGATGGGAAAAATTTAAAGAAAGCTCAAAAACAGGAAGAGGAATATTTGTTCAATTCCATGTGTTGGCATGCGCGCTATGCTAACGTATGTGTCTGTTTGTGCGTGTGTGCGCGTTTTTATGGCATTCAAGGCAGCTGCGCGCTGGCATGCCGTCAAGAAGGGTAAATATGAAAATAACCATGAAATTCTGAATTTTAAATACATCAATCGTGTATGCACACACTGTGAAATAAGTGAAGTAAAAATTGTTTAAGCACACATACGCATATATAATATGTGTTTGTATGGGTAGAGTGCGCACAGCAAAAATTCGTTCAATTTGTACGCAAATATTGTTAATGCTTTAGTAGTTTTTATCAGCTGCCCTTTGACCTATTAACATTGCCAATACTCGTCGATTTGAGTGTGATTACTTTTTTCTGAACTAATTACATTCTTGCTATATGATAGGGAAGACAAGTAATGAGTTTTTTATACAAAATTTGTGCTATTTTTCTTAAATATCATCTATTCGTAATGACCTTTGTGTTAAGTGGTGATTTTTTTTTTAATTTTTACATTTTTTTTACACATTGTGTCAACTGTCATCTGTAAGTTGTCAACTGTCATCGCTCAGCTATCATCTGTCAGTTGTCAACTATCATCGCTCAGCTGTCATCTGTCAGTTGTCAACTATCATCGCTCAGCTGTCATCTGTCAATCGTCAAATATTATTTGCTGCCAATAATGAAGCGTACTTTTTTGTGCGAATTCTACTTTTTTAAAATAACTATTTTCTGGCTTTTGTAGTTGTCATTAATATCATAAGTCGTCTGTCATCTGAAACCAAATTAGGTAATATTTTAGTTATAGAGATTTTTGACAAGTCTAACCGTTTATGGCTTATGAAGCAATAATTCTAAATGTATTGTAAAATTTTCATAATTTTATAGTTTTTACATACCTATGGAATCAATGCTTTCAGTGATAATATGTCAAAATCCAGATATTTGATAGTGGTTATCTAAAAAGATTGCAAAGAAACAAGGAATTAGTAAAAAAATTAAGTTAACTACATTATTCATTCATTAGCTTATAATTTTAAATAAATTTTGTTATTATGAAACAATTGAACTAAACGAAATAGGTTAAGGCTCCTTGAGCACGCCCTATACATTCGATTGATTCCTTTCAAAAACAAACATGTGGTTCTGAAATTTTCAAATAGACGTAACTATTGATCCATTGCGGGTTTTCAAAAATAAACATTTAGATTTCTAAATTGAGACAGAAAAGCGCCCATTGAAATTTATCTGCAGTTCGGATAAGACATTTTTAAGGTGAATATTAACAAAGCAGCTCGACGAAATGTTGTTAACTTAGGAGTTTAAATTACTGTAGAAGCGTTGCGTGTTTTTTTCCGCTCCCTTGCACATGACCTATCGATCTTCCATGCCGCTAAGGCATTCCAATCCCCCCTGATCCGTCTGTCAGCCATTTCAGAAATTTCATTTTGTATCATCTTTAGCGATTTGCATAAGTGGTTCGGTAGCCAAGCGGATCGCACTTTTGGCCAGTAAGGTATAAATTTAGAGCCGGTTCCTCGTCCTGCTCTACTGACTGCTTCAATCACATCGCATGGGTCATCATACCATATTAGCCTGTGCACAGAATTTCTATTTTAAATTCGGTGATAATTTCTGTAATTAATTAAATGCAATTCGTACTCATATTCATATTCGCAATTATTATTATTTTTTAATTAAACTCACGCTCCACCGATTGTTAATCATTTTGGTAATGCGATTCCTTTGCACAAAAAAAACAAAAATAATAATACAAATCTGAATTTGCTTCATTCATTTGAAAATTGCAATAAATAATTTCAATGTCTGACTAATTGTCCAACGGTTATTAAATTGACGCAATGAGCATTATTTTCACAGAGAATATTTAATTAAAATGGCATTGCAGTGAGATGGCAACGGTAGTAGTGGCGACAGCAGCGCCTGCAACATATATTAAAATGCGATAAAATGTTTACCCGAAAATGGCACCAAATGAAGCAATTAATTTCGGGTAATGGGATTTTGCCTACGAAATCAAATAAAAACACCAGCTACATAAATTAAATTCAAAAATTAAACCCCCAAAAACAAAGCGGAAAAGCTTAAAAGCGCGTGTGCCGCATATACACACATAGCTTCAACAACAAAAACAACAACAATGGCGTGCAAATTTATTGGTGTTTGGAATGTTACGAAATTTTGGTGTGCCAATTTAAAATGTGCAATGCAAAAATCAGTTGAAGTTTGTATGTTACGTGTATGTGTGTGTGTCTGTATGTATACATGTAAATATTTGTATTTATCTTTGTATTTGTGTTTATATCGGTTTGTATGAATGCGATAGCGTAATAAATGAATGCCACCGCTGCTGTTGCAGGGATTTATTTGAATAATGACCCGATTGTGGCACTTCAACCGACTGTCACATTCGATGTGGTCAAGTGCAAGCAAAACATTGGCATGCCAGCAATGTGTGACCCCCTGATTCTGCAGGCACCCCGCGGGGAACGCTGACTGTAACTTTGTTGAGTTTGCACTTTATTATCATGCCCCAAGCAGCGATTACACAATGCTGCTGCAGCACGAGTATTGACTGTGCGTAACTATATTTGTAGCAGTTGAGAAGAGCAGCTAATAAACTGTCACAGTTGCGAACCATGTCGGTTGGTGAAAATAGCTGGCTGCACATTGATAAATGTTTGGCGAGTTTGAAACCTGTAGCAGTTAATTTTTTTAGCAACATTAATCCAGAAAACAACCAAACTTTTATAAATTAGATTAGATTAGAGCAGTTTATTCACAGAGTAGTAGTTAGTTTGAAATCCGACAAAAAATGCCCAAATGTATGGTCTAACATTTTAGTAGAACTCTCAACAACAACGTCAATAAACTTTGGCTACACTTCTGACTTTCTGATTTTTAACTTTTTGTCTTAAGAGCAATTTAATGAGCTATAACGTTCAATTGCAATGAGTCGCTCTCTAGAATTGATTCCTGAAATTTGATTCACAACTGATGCAAATTAATTATTAAAAGGCCTATTTAACTTCGTTTTAATCATCATTGGCTTACATTTGTCACCAGCAGCCCATTGAAGGCCCATTGACATTCAATGTCACTGTCATTGAATTAATCAGCTCCCACTGTAACTGTAACTACAACACATAACTGATTTCCAAATCGATTTGGAAATTGCTGCTTAGGCAACAGTCTAGGGTTGAATACAAATCAGGCTCAATTCCGGTTAAATGTATCGGACTTCTGTGGTAGGGACTGTCATGAGAAGCTCTATCCAAGTGAATAAAAGGAACTATTGTTACTAATATATTAGAAAGAAATATATTTGAGATAGCTAATTGATATTCTAACGTACATTCAAAATGACATCTGAACATGTCCTTGAATTAAGGGAAGAAAATCGGAATGTAAAATAACTGAAATTTATAAATTATTGATTATTTGATTTGGGAAGAGCTTGGAGGCCAATGTTAGAACGATTGGGCCTAAGACGAAGAGTTGTTCAGAAATCATCACTGTGACAGAACGGAAAATATTCTACGGTTCATTCTGAACCATTTTGCCTAAAATAATATGGGTCTAAAACCGGTTACGTGCTAGTGATTTTTAAGGCGAAGTTTATCTTTTAGGGATTATAAAAATTTCTTCGTCAGTTTTTGAGATATCCGAAGGAAATTTAATACATATATGCATTTTGATATTCTATTGATTATTTGTCGGAATCGGACAGATCGGACAACTATAACACATATCTGCCATACAACCAATTATTTAGTTATTGTATTTTATTTTCCGGTATCCTAACTTTATTTAAAAAGGTAAGAGCTTAACATTGTAAATGAAAAAAGAGAAAATCGGACAACTATGTATAACATATATCTCCGATACAAAAAAGCATAAAACAAGTTTTAAGTGTATTATCATAAAAAAATTGTAAAATTGATCCCGCATTCGAAATTTTTTTAGAATGAATCGTAGAACATTTCCAGCAAACGCGATATATAAGGATACCGAGTATATAAGGATCAGCGCTCTAACTTAAGCTAACATATAGGAACGTTAATAGCAACAATTTGAGCCAGGCAACCGTAAGTATTATATTTTATTGAGGGTATATGTCATCCGTTTGAAAAAAGTCAAAAGAGTAAACATATTTTAAATAGTTTCTATTTTAGAGGGCATACTACTCTCTTTTGAGATTATAAAAAATCCGGCGTGTAATCATTACAGCGAATTACATCGCTCCACTTTCACACCTTTGTCAAACAGTTATCACCAGAAATGCGGAACATTTATTTCCTTGTCAGATGCCAAAGTAATTAGATAGTATTTTAATTAACAAAAAATTACGTTGCCATTAAAAACAAATTAGGCTAACCATACAATTAGATTTACACATCACAGCAGCGCGTTAAATATGTGACAATACATACATATGCCGAAAGGGCAGCAAAAAATAGAAATGTAATTGCAGACGAGCAAATCCATTTATAACAGCAACTAACAAATACAACGACGTGGGAATTGCACCATCACGCGTTGCCACCTTTTGGCAATGTATAATTTGCTTCTAAGCCTGTGATTTCGGTATGCAAAGCAGAATAATCAATGCGCCGCGCGACGTGAGCTGAGGGCACAAACTAAATCTGATTGTTCTGCCGTCACACAAGCACACACACATACACTTACGTACAATTGTACAATTTTTGGTATGAAATGTGCGATGTGTTGATAACATTTGACCACAATACAAATTAAGGCAATGCACTTGCCACCATACAAATAAATATATATGCAGATACATATGCATGTCATCTCTATAACTGCAAATATATGTATACAGATAAACAAATAAACCGTTGCATCAATTTTAGCCGTGGAGTCTGTCACCACTTCCAATTATGCGGCGAATGAAGTGCGATTGTTTGTTTTCGAAATTGTATTTGCCACTACCCATTTATGTACTTATGTTAGATTGAATGGGGTAGGGAGGTGGGAATAAGCGCAGAGTGTTAAAATGAAACCAAGAAGTATGTATAATAATTTAAGCATATAATATATATTTATAGAACTTATTAAGTTTAAACTTCGAACCAAAACCTAAATTTATAGAAAACATCTTTCTAAAGTGGCCACCCAAAGCAGGTAATGTTAAGCCGAAAGCTCTCTGAAATTTAGTTTTGAATTATGGGTAGCTGTTTGATTAAAAAACTTTAGAAACAGAGAATTGATGGGTATAGAGACACGAGAATATAACCAGTTTATTTCCTCTGGTTAACCGTTTTATTATTCAACGTAAAGGTGTCAAAATATTCAAATATAATACTTTGGATAAATAGAAGTTTAACATATCAAATCTAGCTTAAGGTTTATACAAGTATCTACTTGTGAATTAAAAATAAATAAATAAAAAATAAAAAAAAGGTATTAATAGAAGGAACTCTCTGAAGTGTAAATTTTTTTATAAAAAAACGACCTACATGCATTCAATATTACCTGAACATTTGATTGCAAAAAAATGTGTTCACGTTGGACCCCACACAACTTGTCGATCGCGCAGAAAAAGCCTAGTGCCGATTGGTCGCGAGATATGTTAAAAAAAAAGGGAGCGGTGCTTCGAAACACGTCTATGATATCGTAACAGTTGACGAATCGTGGATTTACGTGTATGAGCCCGAAAGTAAACAGTAGTCGACTGTAGGGCGTTGCCAGATGAGCCGAATCCCACAAAAATTGTTCGCACACGAAGCACTTCCAAGCAAATAGTTGCCATTATTTTTTTTTTCAGAACCAGTCGCAACTATATCACTAGACCAACGTAGAAGAACAGTAAATTATGAGTCGTAAACAACCATTTGTTTCCCAGTTATCTTTCAAGAAATCAGGAAAACCCCCGCCGAAGATGGATCACTTTTTACCACGATGATTTGTTGAGTCA